GAAACGAGATTCTAGCAGGTTAGATCGACAAGATGAAAACAGCTCTCAAAACGGACTGTAGGAGATAAACATACTCAAACATGTTCCTTGACTCAGGAGGGGGAAGAAATGCTGCCCAACATTATTCTTAAAACCATACTAATGTAAAATTTGGTTATTACATTAGAAAAAGTCTGCCCAATGCCAACAGAGCTTCCGGACTTCAATTAATATAGTAGTATCAGGAGACTACACAACACAGACTTCTGTCTACCTGTGCTAGAATTCCCTTTCAAATGGACTCATTACCTTACTATTTAATATATTTTATTCCAACTGCAAGGTGCCCACGGCAGCACACATTGTTCTCCCCTCCTCCATTTTATCCTCACAACAACCCTGTGAGGTAGGTCAGGCTAAGAGAGTATGACTGGCCCAAGGTCACCCCGCCAGCTTCCTGGCAGAGTGGGGATTTAAACCCAGTTCTCTAGTGGGATACTCTAACCATAGCAGCCTGTTGGCTTTTATCATTAGCTTCAACCTTTTTACAGACAGAAGAACTGCAAACAACGATGCAGTAAATGAACCATCTCAATCCGACCCACGAACTCTTGAGAAAGGCAGACGAGTTTTTCTGACCATTACGCCACAGCCACGGCATACAAAAACTATACCACGGACAATTTATTGACCAAAGATCATAGACTTAAAAGATTCATGCATGTTTCACAATTCATCCATTATCTTTCAAGGTGAGAAAGTGCAAACTTAAATCCTACTTAGCACCACAGCCCTATACAACTGCAGACCTTCTTACCATCAGGACCCCTCCACTCACCCACATCTGTAAAATGGGAAACAACAGCTGCTCACAGCCAGTTTGGTGTAGTGGTTAGGAGTGCAGGCTCTAATCTGGGAGAACTGGGTTTGAGTCCCCACTCCTCCACATGCAGCTGCTGGTGTGACCTTGGATCAGTCACGGCTCTCTCAGAGCCGTTCTGTCAAAAGCAGTCCTCGAGAGAGCTCTCTCAGCCCCACCTACCTGACAGGGTGTCTGTTGTGGGGAGGGGAAGGGAAAGGAGATCATAAGCTGCTCTGAGATTCATTCGGGTAGTGAAGGACGGGGTATAAATCCAATATCTTCTCTTCTTCTCTCTTGTTGTGTAGATTAACAAAAATAAGAGCTAAAGAATACACTGCAGACTAAAGTCTTTTTTTTCCGCCTACCCCTAAGATTACTAAGAGAGTTTCCATTGCATATTACCCTCCACAGCACTGCCTTCTCCCCTGTGGCACCCACTCTGTGGAATGACCTGCCTGAGGTCAGAAAGGCTCCCCCTCTCCTGGCTTTCCGCAAACTATGCAAAACTGAATTATTCAAAAGGATTTTTCTGTGGATGCAATAGGGTAGCACTGTGCAAAAGGCATCACAAATTAAATGATAAATTATTGGGGACTACAGTCTGTACTATTTTGCAAAGTATGCTGTGGGTCGGATCCTGCTGTGTAATTTTGCATCCTTTAGTGTGTCATGTTGACACTTATGCTTTACTTCTGTTCTGGTTTTAGACTTCTGGTTGGTTCTACAAGCCAAATCCTACTTCACTGGTGACTGAACTTGTTGATTGTATTGACTCACTCTCAGTGATATGCCTTGAGTCCAAGTGAGAAAGGCAGACTGTAAACAACCTAATAAAATAAAAATACTCTCAAAACAATCCTGTGAGGTATAGTCATGTTATTTCCACATTACAGACAGGGAAGGGAAGCTGAGGAAGGACAAATGGGGAAGATTTGCACCCAGCTTGAAATCATATCAGAAAATCAATAAAATTAATATTGCTTTCCCCCATATCACAGCTGAGCACACAGTTATGCAGCATCTTAACATCAGCAGAGTTGCAGGGAACCATAAAAATCTAAGCCCATCCCTCAAAGACATCAGCGAGGTGTGAAGCCATGTGACCATGAGATTCGCATTCCACCAGGGCTGTTGAACAGGACAAAGACAGACTGGTAAGAAAAAAAATACGTAAAGGTACTTGGATCATTTAACACATATGCTTTCAGCTCCTTTCCACGCTGGTGACCAGTTTCCACAGAAATAGAGTGTAGTGGCACTCTAAATAATAACAGATTTTATTCCACCATGATCTTTCAAGGACCATAGCCAACTTCATCAGATCAGTAGTAGTCACTGTGTGAAAAGTGCCCTTACAGCAACCCTACAAATAAATGACCTCCTAAAAAAGTCCTACTGTTAACAGCCTTGCTCAGGTCTTGCAACCTGAGAGCCATGTGGTCACTACGCAGATAATTATATAGGAGGCTATGAAGAAAAGAAAAGTGGCAGGGTCAGAGGTTTATGAAATGCAGGATGACATGCAACGCTGTAAAATGCAGGGAAGTACACAGACAATGGCAATAATTGGTAATCTCAGGTAGTTCACACCTGTAATGGAGGAGCAGTCCCAGGCTTAATTACCCACCTTTTCTGTTTAGCATCTCCATGAAAACATTTCCCACTGGTCATCTAGAGTCCAAGATGATAAATATGCAGATGGCATGTAACTGCCTCTTTCC